ATATACCTCTTCCTCCAAGTTCCCATGGAGAAAAACGTTTTTCACATCAAACTGTTTTAATGGCCAGTCCATATTAGCGGCTAAAGATATCAGGACACGTACCGTATTCATCTTGGCAACGGGAGAAAACGTCTCTTGATAATCTACACCATATGTTTGGGTGTATCCTTTAGCTACCAACCTTGCTTTGTACCTGTCTATTGATCCATCGGCTTTGTATTTGACAGTAAACACCCACCGGCATCCAACTGTTTTTTTTTTCCCTTCGGCAAGGACGTCACCTCCCAGGTATTATTCTTCTGTAACGCCAACATTTCTTCATCCATTGCGTTTGCCCACTTTGGATCCTTTAAAGCCTCTTCCACACGAGTTGGTACTCGAATAGCCTCCATATTGTCTATCAAGGTCTTACGCTCTGGTGCAAGGCCATTGCATGAGACATAGTTGGCTATCGGATACTTTACTTTGCCTTCCAGAGAAAACCTGTCAGGTGGCACACCCCGATTTTGTCTCGGTGGCAACTTATATGTATTTACATCAGTACTTGCATTAGTTACATAATCATCCACAATACTTACCTCAGGTTTATTCAGAGAAGAATCATTGGGCATCACCGTGGAGCTAGAGAGAGAGAGGGTTACAAAAGTAGGCTCGACAATGAACTGTCCTGACTCCAGATCACTCTCGGCATCTTTTGTTTCTGACTGCATGCTGCTCTCGGCAGCAACTTCTGACTCATGCCGTGGCATGTTTGGTATTTCAGCAGCATCTGGCAAGGCATGTATGATCACTGCCGCATTAGGCACGGCATCAGCATGCACGGCCGCAGCATCAACCACAATATTTTCTCCCAAGTCCAACCATTCCAGATCACCAATAGAGCTCTCCCCCTGGTGATCTGAAGATGAAGATACGGGGGCATAAAAAAAACTCCGATTCAGAAAAGGTCACATCCATAGTAACATACATATGCCGAGTCTCAGGGTGATAACATTTATATCCTTTTTGGTGAGATGAGAAACCAACAAACACACATCGAAGGGCACACGGATCCAACTTAGTGTGATGAATTTTCGGAACATGCACATAAGCCACACAACCAAATACCCGGGGCTTGAGAGTATGAGTAGACATCACCTGAACATGTTGAGTGAGGACTTGAAGAGGAGTTCGAAAGTCAATCACCCGAGAGGGCATACGATTAATCACGTAGACAGCATAAGTAACTGCTTCAGGCCAAAAAATCTTAGGAACAAATGCGCCCAGAAGTAAAGCACGGGCCGTTTCTAAGATATGGCGATTTTTTCCGTTTAGCCACTCCATTTTGCTGTGGAGTATAGGGACAGGTTGTTTCATGGAGAATGCCTTGATCACAAAGAAACTCCGACAACTCACAATTAAGATACTCACCACCATTATCAGAACGAAGAACTTTAATTACAGATAAGTATTGTGTCTGAATCATTTGAGAAAAGGTTCGGAATACCATACCAACATCACTCTTATTTTTCACCACATATAACCACGTCATACGAGTGCAATCATCAACAAACGTAACAAACCACTTAATCCCATAAGAAGTAACAACATGAGATGGTCCCCAAACATCAGAGTGCACAAGTTCAAACGGTAAAGCTCTTTTCTTCATACTAGGAAGAAACGAAGCTCGATGGCTTTTAGCAAGAATACATACTTCACAATGTAAGTCTGATTCATTTATTCCACTAAATAGACTAGGTAACATATGCCGTAAATACCCAAAAGATGCATGCCCTAACCGACGATGCAACAACCACACTTCTTGTAAATTACTAGACCGGGACGCTCGAACCGCATTAGCTCTGCCAGAAACGACGTCGTCCACATAGTACAACCCCTCTCTCTTAGTGCCACGCCCAATTATCTCCTTGGTCTGAATATCCTGAAGGAGACAAAATGATGGATACATTAGAACAACACAATCCAATTGTTCAGTAACCTGTGGTATGGATAACAGATGATGGGATAAAGAAGGAACAAGCAAGCAATGATGTAGGGGAAGTGTAGGGGTAAGATGCACAGTGCCGGCACTACACACGGGTGCCAAAGTACCATTGGCAGTTGATATATTTTTCCTGTGAGATGTGGTCATGTATTGAAACATATTTTTATCATATGTCATATGATCCGTTGCCCCAGAGTCCAGAATCCAACATGTATGGTGCTGATTTTCAGAGGCTAAGAGAACACATCCCACGGTACCTGAGTCCATTAATAAAATTTTACGGCTTCCTGCAATCTGTACTGAAGCAGGACAAACCGATAACAACTCTGATTTGAGAAACACACCACCAATACCGTAGCAGCCCCAAGTCTTTCTAAGGTAACAGACAAGCAGTAGACAAGTACACACTGCACGTCAATACACGGTACAATTGCAGGAAAAAAAAAACATAGCAATCCTCATGGCAGCAGCAATGTATTGCGCTGCACAGCAATATACAGCAGCAGATCCTCACGGCAGCAGCAATATATTGCGCTGCACAGCAATATACAGCAACATACTGCACACACAGCAGTACCACACCCACACGGCAACAATACACAGCACTGCACAGCAATACACAGCAGCAGACTGCACACACAGCAGTACCACACCCACACGGCAACCCTGTTTGCTGCAGAAAAATTGCAGAAAAAACAGCACCACCTACGCTGCTGCACACGCAGCAAGATTACACACACACACGGTACCACTGTTTTCTGCAGAAAATTTGCAGAAAAACAGTCAACCAAGCACAGCGGAAAAACTAGGGTTTCGGCGCTCTGATACCAAATAGAACTTTTATGGGAATTAATTCTTCTATTACTTGTTTAGAAATATATACATGTGCTATCATAGTTTTACAAGGAAACAAAAAACATATACACAAACCTATCATAGTTTTACAAGGAAACAAAAAACATATACACAAACCTACTTAATAAATGACTCCTATTATTAACATTCCCTATTTTTCCTAATATTGACTCACGCTAACACAAAGTTTTATTCTTGCGTCTCTTTAACCTAGTGGGGGTATGTATGTTGTTGTTCCATCATCACATTGTCACACAGTTGTTTAAAAATTCCCACTACATCTGTCGAACTCGAAGACTTGGAGAATATCAACTTGGGAGACTGGGAGTCATCTCACAAAGTTAACAACTCTATATAGACTGATTTAGAGAAAGTAATTACTGCATGCTCATTTCTTTTTTAAGAAAATTAACGAAAAGTTTAAAAAAAACTTTAGTTTTAATGAAAAATGATAAATAAAGGTGTAGTGAATAGTACCAGGGAAATGTAAAAATATGATTTTTTGTTAAAAGTGAACTGTACCTAGAGTGTTTTGTTAAAATTCCCTTCTTTTTTCTACATTTATTTGTCCATTTTGTCCTTTAATGTTAGTTGAAGATGATGTTACAGGGCATTCAGAACCAGCCTTGAAGTGAATGAATTAGAAAGAACGAAGAAGTAAGGAAATGAGACGACTCTTTCTTGAACTATATCATAAACAGATCTTCCCCTCCACACCAATCACGAGTTTTTCTCCATTCCTCTCGTATATCGTCGTAACGCCCTTAATGCTAGGTTTTGAAAAAGACTTTTCATGTCATTCCCATTTAGGTTCGATTCGGATCCCTCCGTTGTTTCCTTTTCCTCCCGCACCTTTTTCTCGAAATGAGAAAGAAGATGGTACACTCGAATTGTATTATTTAAGTGCTTATTGCTTGCCAAAGATCCTACTTCTACAATTGGTAGGTCACCGGGTTATTCAAATAAGTTGTGTTTTCTGTGGTTTTCCCATGTTACAACTTCCGCACCAATTCAGTCGATCTGAAATGGATCAGTTAAACATTCTCTTTTATGTGGTATTCATTCTCCTTCAGCTCTTGAAATCACATTCAGCAGTGGTTGGAACAACTCACAAAATCCAAGCACTTCAATTAAAAGTTAAAAAAAAATTGTGCTGGGAAGAAAAATTGTATTCGAAAATCACTTTAGCAATATGATCATCTATGAATTGTAAGCATTATAACTATGCCAACTTACTTGTCACATTTTCTCATTCATGTATTAACTCAAATATATATGACAAATCAAAATAAAATAGACGAGTGTACATAATAATATTTTGACATTTTTAACATTAAAACTTCAAAAAAGTGAAGATTGGTATGGAAAAATTTGTTTTAGACATAACACAACACTTGAATACAAAATGAATTGTCAAAATAACTCATAATACATTTTTGAGAAGTACGACTTAACTCGTAGTTACTTATTCATTTATAATTTTCTCAAAGGATTTCATATATACATAGGCATTTTAATTGAAGCAAAGAAGGTCCTACAGCCTTTTATTGCACGTGGTAGCAAGGTGGGAAGAACCAACACTCAAACAAAACCAGGCCTACCTTCTCTGTTCCATCATCATCAATTCATCGTGGCTCTCAATTTTCACATTGTTGGCAAATGCAGCAAGCAAATCATTTCTGTTTTTATAAAAAAAATTGACATTTTTGTTTTATTTTTAATTAACGAATATAAATGTAGAAATATAATTGTAGGCCTTAATTTTTAAACTAAATATTGGATTCAATATTCTATTATTCCCTCTAACAAGGGCCAAAAAGTCATAGACCTTAATATGAAGGTGAAGTAATTAAGGAACCTCCAAATTGACCTAATAACACAATTTTCTCGTTAATCATATGTCACATTTTGATTAATCAATTGATTCTCTAAAGTTACTCATGTAAATAATACAGGTTCCTAAATTCTAATGATGGATTTTTTAAGTTGATCGTACCATTTTTATTTGCTTTTAGTTTTGAATTTTAGAACAATTGTTTTTGCAATTATATTATGCGTGTGTTTTGATTCACGGTCGAAAAAAAATTTCGTGATGGATACCATTGATTTACGAATACCCACAAAAATAACAAGTAGGCAAACAACAGTAAATCAAGTAATGTGCACATAAGGGTAACTTTTGATTGAAACTTGGAATGTGATTGCACGAATTATGAGTTTTGCTAGGTGCAATTTAAACATAATTTAAATCTATTTACAAACAATGATTTCATCCCAAATCTATAATACCAATAATAGTCCACATCCATTTTCGTAAACTTAGACAACAAAAGGGAACACATTGGGCATTTTGTACCACAATTGACGAAAAGGCCCCCATCATTCCAACTTCAAGCACTTGTGACCATCTTGATGTCTTGCTCAGCAGAGAAGGAGCTTGATGGGTATTTTTGTTCCTTCTTTGTTGGGTAAGAAGACTCTATTGCAATGCCACACTTGCCTGTGTACGTGCTTGCAACATTTCTCTCTATCTTAAAATATCCACTCTCTCCCCAGTTGGTTCCCCATGAGTTCCTCACCAACCAATAGTCTGTGCCGTTTTCAGTGCCATACCCGACAGCAACGACACCGTGGTCCAATGCTGTTCCGCACTCACCAGTGAAAACACCCGACTGGTAGAGTTGTAAGGCCATGCCGCCGGCTTCAATGGCCATGCTAACGGGTTGGTGTGCAACGACTTTCTTCAAAGCGTTCTCGTCGTAGGACGGAACATCTTTGTACCCGTCGATGCTAACAACCATAATTTTCTCTTGCAAAATTATAGTGCAACAAAGCAAGACGTTAGAACAAATGAAATATTACCCTACAAGAGTATAAATAGGGGATTGACATTGAAAACTTTGGACTAACCAGAGCAACGTTGCATTTTTGGTCATATGCTTTGTAAGGGTAGTCGGATTCAGTGTCAATGCTGCCGTTTAGGATAATGAACTCGAAGGCGTAGTCCATGAGACCACCATCGCATCCGGCGTTGTAAGTCCTGTCACAGTCGACGAGCTCTTGCTCTGAGAGAGACACCAATTCTCCGGTCACTATTTGGTTTATGCCCTCCACTGTTGCCACTGTTGAAAAAGCCCAGCAACTCCCTGCAACCAAGAAATGGAAAGGTTTTCGTGAGCACTAATTAGATCCAGTGGGCCTAACCCAAACTTATGTAACCATGTTTGGGTTTGGATGAGCTTGGAGAAACATTTTAGTATTTAATAAACATAACTACATGAATTTATTAGAACATATATTATTATAAGGTATAGTATTAATAGATAAATAATAAATATTATAAAACGCAAAAGAGTTAATAACACCATGTTACAGTGAGCAGACTTAACTCGATCATAAAAAGTTGAATGTTACGCTATTGAAGAGATATATTGTAGTGAATTAGTGACACTTAAGAAAATATGTAAAACCATAACTGTACCGAAAAATCCGTACCTAACTATATGATACTAAATTAGTGTACCGAAATGTCGGTACCTAAATATATTATACTAAACTATTGTACCGAAATGTATGTACCTAAACATATTATACTAACTCAGTGTACCAAAATGTTCGTTACTAAATATATTGTAATGAATTAGTGACAAATAAGAAAATATGTAAAAACATAAGTGTCACATCTCCGTCCGAGGCGGATCAATTCCCGGGCCCGCTCTACCACCATAGCACGATATTGTCCGCTTTGGGCTTACCATTCCTTCACGATTTTGTTTTTGGGAACTCACGAGCAACTTCTCAGTGGGTCACCCATCATGGGATTGCTCTAGCCCCCTTCTCACTTAACTTTGGAGTTCCTACGAAACTCGAAGCCAGTGAGCTCCTAAAAGGTCTCGTGCTAGGTAGGGATAGGAATATACATTTAAGGATCACTCCCCTAGGCGATGTGGAATGTTACAATCCACCCCCCTTAGGGGCCTGATGTCCTCGTTGGCACACACCCGGCCAGGGTTAGGCTCTGATACTAAATTGTCACATCCCGACCCGGGACGGATCACTTCCCCGGCCCGCTCCATCACCGTAGCATGATATTGTCTGTTTTGGACTTAGCATTCCCTTACGGTTTTGTTTTTGGGAACTCACTAGCAACTTCCCAGTGGGTCACCCATCATGGGATTGCTCTAGCCCCCTTCTCGTTTAACTTTAAAGTTCCTACGGAACCTGAAGCCAATGAACTCCCAAAAGGCCTCATACGAGGTAGAGATGAGAATATACATATAAGGATCACTCCCTTGGGCGATGTGGGATGTCACAATCTACCTTCCTTAGGGGCCCGACATCCTCGTCGACACACCACAACCAGGGTTAGGCTTTGATACCAAACTGTCACATCCCGGCCCGGGGCGAATCACTTCGCGGGCTCGCTCCACCACCATAACACGATATTGCCCGCTTTGGGCTTACCATTCCCTCACGGTTTTGTTTTTGGGAACTCACGAGCAACTTCCCAGTGGGTCACCCCATCATGGGATTACTCTAGCCCTTTTCTCGCTTAACTTCAGAGTTTCTACGGAACCCGAAGCCAATGAGCTCCCAAAAGGCCTCGTACTAGGTAAGGATAGGAATTTACATTTAAGGATCACTCCCCTGGGCGATGTGGGATGTTACAATCAAATTGTCACATCCTGGCCCGATGCGGATCACTTTCCGGGCCCGTTCCACCATTGTAGCACGATATTGTCCGCTTTGGGCTTACCATTCCCTCACGGTTTTGTTTTTGGGAACTCACGAGCAACTTCCCAGTGGGTCACCCATCATGGGATTGCTTTAGTCCCCTTCTCGCTTAACTTCGGAGTTCCTACGGAACCCGAAGCAAGTGAGTTCGCAAAATGCCTCATGCTATGTAGAGATAGGAATATACATATAAGAATCACTCCCCTGGGCGATGTGGGATGTCACAATCCAACCCTTTTAGGGGCCCGACATCCTCGTCGGCACACCACGACCAAGGTTAGGCTCTGATACCAAATTGTCACATCCCAGCCCGGGGCGGATCACTTCCCGGGCTTGCTTCACCACCGTAGCACGATATTGTCTGCTTTGGGCTTACTATTCCCTCACGGTTTTGTTTTTGGGAACTCACGAGCAACTTCTCAGTGGGTCATCCATCATGGGATAGGTCCGCGCTACTCACTTAACTTTGGAGTTCTTATGGAACCCGAAACCAGTGAGCTCCCAAAAGGCCTCGTACTAGGTAGAGATGAGAATATACATATAAGGATCACTCTCCTGGGCAATGTGGGATGTCACAATCCACTCCCCTTAGGGGCCCAATGTCCTCGTCGGCACACCACAACCAGGGTTAGGTTCTGATACCAATTGTCACATCCCCGTCCGGGGCGGATCACTTCCCGTGCCCAACTCCACCGCTGTAGCACGATATTGTTCGCTTTGGGCTTACCATTCCCTCACGGTTTTGTTTTTGGGAACTCACGAGCAACTTCCCAGTGGGTCACCCATCATGGGATTGCTTTAGCCCCCTCCTTGCTTAACTTCGGAGTTCCTACGGAACTCGAAGCCAGTGAGCTTCCAAAAGGCCTCGTGCTAGGTAGGGATAAGAATATACATTTAAGGATCATTTCCCTGAGCGATGTGGGATGTTACAATAAGTGCATTGAAAAATCTGTACGAAAATATTTTCTTATATAAGATGCTTACTATAATGAGAATTAAAACTTATAATATTTTCCTAAAATTTAAATTCATAAAATTATAAATAAAAATAAGAGACATTGAATACATATGGTGGCATTAAATAGAGTATGGGGACTAAAATCAATTTTTAATCTTGTGTAAGACATTTTTTTGAATTTCATCTTATTTAAGAATTAAAATCTAGTTTTCTATATTTTATATGAAGTATTTATCAAATATAGCCAAAAATTAACTTTTAATTTCAAAAATGTCACTTTTTATAAAAAAAAATCAAATATATCCAATTTTTTACTTAAATAGACACAAATACCCTCAAATTTAACAATTAAATAAATTAAAGGCTTTTTAGCTACTGTTGTCTCAAGCTCCGGTCCAACTTCACCTTTTCTTCTAAACTCCACCACCACAACCTTATCCCCTTCGACCTCCTCATCACCGACATTGAGCGACGCTGCGGTTACCACAAGTGGGAGCAGCAGAATTTCAATCATGCCTTCAATGCCTTTTTTCTTACTAATATCACTTTTAATTTTAAATATAAAAATAGTTTTTAAAGTTAATCCACATGTTGTTATATGATTGTATTTGTGAGACCCTTGTGGCGCCACATCATCACACTAACATATCAATTGTGACAGCCCGTCTCGAATTATTTGTATCGTAGGAGTGAAATGACTAAATTGCCCTTGGACGTTAGTTGGCGTTGTGGGGTGTTGTTTAATTGTTTTTGGTTGTTGACTTAACAGGACCACACACACACACACACACACCCGTACCACACTCCCGTGACCCTCTCTCTCTTTCTCGGATTTCTTCCATTCCTTTACAATTGTACGGACGAACTTCAAAACCAACCTTACACACACAGATTGGCGTCTAGAAGGTAAGATTCGAACTCCTTGTAAGTTTCTGAGTTCTTATATACCATTTGTGAGACTTGAAACCTTCGAAAACCTCCAGAACCCTAGCCTCAGAGTTCATGCACTATTTAATGTCAGGTTTTTAGGAATTTTTAAGGTCATAGAGAGCTTTAGAACACTCTCACGAAGCTCAGAGAAGAAAGTTGAAGTGTTTTGGATGCCAGGAAGCTCGAGTTGTAGATTTGGCCGGTCTTCTCGAATTTATCCGGCAAGTTTCAGTGTGTTCTAGGGCTTGAAAGTGGTGAGAACTTGTTCCTTATGTCGTGGGCTTCATTTTTGTACAAAATTCATGAATTTTGGTTGAAAAATGAGTGAGATTTGACGAATGAAAGTTTTTCTTAGTTTCCGGCGACGGTGACGGAGTCCAGCGCCTAGCCGGAGAAGAAAGGAGAATATTCCGTTAATTTTAATGGAATATTCATAACGACAGTAACATTGTCAGGTTAGTTTTAAAGAAATATGCTTGCTTTTGGATGAAATATTTACGACGGCGTTAACTACCACCGTCAGTGTGCCACGCACGTGCCTGCGCATGGCGGTGCGTGGGTGGTCAGAAAATTATTTTAAAATTATGGGGATGTTCGTGAAGTTGAGTAGATCACGTTGATATATTCAAACACCTCATTTGAGCATTGTATGATAAGTTGTTACCTAGTTTTGGTTATGTGCTTTTAATTGACGTTTTTATAGTTATTTCGCATATAAGTGAGACCTATCCTGAGGACGAGCGCAGTAACTTAAGGCTCGAGGGCTACGACCCTTCCACATACCAGTGAGTGGGCTTTTGGCTTTCCGTATATACCTATATACTTGAGAGTTTTCCCAGAAAATGAAATTGAATGTTTATATGTTTTAAAATGCCATGCAAAGTGTCTACCTATTTATTTATGCATTAGTAGTTGCATATATATATATGTTTGGTGCTGCGGACGCACAGGTAAGTGCCAGGCAAGTGCCAGGCAAGTGCCAGGCAAGTTTATAGTTTATGGTTGTGAATTGGTGGTTATGTGAGATGCATTGAGAGCTCATAAACCTGCACCTCGGTGTTAGTGCTCTCGCCCAGAGTTAGGGCATAGTTCTTCACGTGATATTCACCTCCCGCACCATACGCTCACCTTGGATCCAAGTTAGGTGCACAGTCCTGTCATACAGACCACTTTAGGTGGTTTTGACTAGTAGGTGACCCGCGATTATTCGCACAGTCTTCACGGAATTGTAACACTTGAGCGTATTTATTTACATCCAGTCCTATCGTACATACCACTCTAGGTGATTCTGACTCGTGTGCAGGTATAGTTGTCTAGATGTAGATTTGAGCTCTAGATTCAGCCGTACAGGTCACGTTAGGTGACTCCGGCTGACATATTATTTGCATTGATTGATATCACCTGGGTTACTTACATCTTATGCTGAGATATTTGACATGACATATGTGGATTTTGCTATTTCGAGCATGGTTTCGATATATTCTATTTTCTGGGAAATTATACAGGTTTTACGACGAGGGGTTAAAACTTTTGAGAAATGAGATGATTTTGAAAAACTTTGTTTTTGCCCACTCACATTTTCCGTTTTGCGCCCCTCCAAGTTCTAGTTTGAAGTGATTTGTGGTGGCTTACGAGGAATTCTCGGCATCCCTGACAGATTATTATCAGTGTAGGATCACCTTTGGTTGTTGTGTAATTATTATTCGTCCTACTAGACTGCACTTAGGCTATTTGTGCTCTGATTATGTTTATCACACTTAGTCTTGCACTTGCGTGTTACTTTAACTAATTTATCTAGTAGTTTGGTTTTTATTTATTCGTAATTGTATTATTTTTGCTTCCACACTGTGCACATGGCTACGTCACCTTCACGTGATGCCCAGCACGCCTTGATTTCGGTCGAGGTGTGTCAGCAATTGACAGATTTTTCACGAAAAAACTAAAATGATCACGATGGACAAATTCAAAGAAAGACTAAAATGATTCACAATAGATAGATTCAAGAACACTACTATTAGTTATCATTAATTGTTAAGGACCAGATTAAGGAGTTATGTCAATGTCACGAATCATTTTGGCTAAAAAGTCTTTAATTTATTTGATTGTTAAATTTGAGGATATTTGTGTCTATTTAGATGAAATTTTGGATATATCTGAAGGCTTTTATAAAAAATGACATTTTTGAAATTGAGGATTAATTGTTTGCTATATTTGATAGGGGTGTAGTATCCATACACCTCATTTTACTTCTCACACACCCCTTGATAATTTATATCCGTTGATCTGCTTTAATTCATCATATCCAATGATCAAAATTAAAAAAAGGCGTGAGAAATAAAATGGGATAGGTGGATATCACATTCCATTTGGTAAATACTCATTTTATATGCTCACAAGAAGAACTCACATTTTTAGATAACTTTGAGAAAACCAACCACCATCTCTCTCTCTCCCCTTTGGCGGCGCGTTCAGTTCACTCGCAGCTGCGCTATGGGACAGTCCTATTCGTTTCCTGAGTCTCCGGCGGAGCACAGTCCAAGTGAAATATCAACGAGCCGCCGTTTCAGCTTCAACCCGGTGGCGATTGTTTCATCCTTGAACGACAAAGAGTCCGAGTTTCACGGGGAAGTCACCCAGGGCCGTGACTACACCTCCGATCTTCCCGACGAGTTGTTGGCGAGTATTTTTCACTTCCTCGGTGCCGGAGACCGGAAACGAAGCTCGCTCGTCTGCCACCGGTGGCTGAGAGTCGACGGCCGGAGCCGGCACCGCCTCTCTCTCAACGCCCATGCCGGGCTCCTCCGTTTCCTGCCTGCTCTCTTCGCCCGCTTCGACTCGGTCACGAAGCTCGCGCTTCGATGCGATCGCAAATCGATCAGCCTGGACGACGACGCTTTGTTCCTGATCTCGATTCGCTGCAGAAACCTGACGCGCCTCAAGCTCCGCGGCTGCCGGGAAATCACCGACCTCGGAATGACCGCGTTTGCGCAGAACTGTAAGGGCCTGAAGAAGCTCTCCTACGGCTCCTGCCTGTTCGGCGCCAAAGCCATGAACGCCGTCTTTGAGCACTGCCCGGCGCTCGAGGAGCTCTCCGTGAAGCGGCTCCACGGTGTCCACGACGGCTCGGAGCTGATCGGCGACAAAATTGCGTCGTCGTCGCTGAAATCGATAACCTTGAGGCAGATACTGAACGGACAGTGCTTTGGGCCGCTTATCGTCGGCTCCAAGAATCTCAAGACCCTGAAGCTAATCCGCTGTTTGGGGGATTGGGATACGGTTCTAGAAAAGCTTGAAAATGGAAACCAGAGTTTGATTGAAGTTCACCTGGAGAGGTTGCAGGTGACCGATTTGGGGCTGTCGGCAATTTCGAAATGCTCGAATTTGGAGGTTTTGCACATTGTTAAGGCTCCTGAGTGTTCAAATTTCGGGCTTATCTGTGTTGCCAAAAACTGCAAGATGCTTAGGAAGCTTCACATTGATGGATGGAGGACGAATAGGATTGGGGACGAAGGTTTGATTGCCATAGCCAAAGAGTGCCCAAACATACAGGAGCTTGTTCTGATTGGTGTGAATCCTACCTCTTTGAGTCTAACTGCAATTGCCTCCAATTGCCAAAAATTGGAGAGGTTGGCGCTCTGCGGTAGCGGATCATTTTGTCCTTTAATGTTAGTTGAAGATGATGTTACACGACATTCAGAACGAGCCTTGAGGTGAATGAATCAGAAAGAACAAAATGAATTAGAAAGAACAAAGAAGTAAGTAAAAGAGACGACTCTTTCTTGAACTATATCATAAACAGATCCTCCCCTCCACACCAATCATGAGTTTTTCTCCATTCCTCTTGTATATCGTAACGCCCTTACTGCTATGTTTTGAAAAAAACTTTTCATTTCATTCCCATTTAGGTTCGATTCAGATCCCTCTGTTGTTTCCTTTTCCTTTCGCACGTTTTTCCCGAAATGATAAAGAAGACGGTACATTTAAATTGTACTATTGAAGTGCTTATTGCTTGCCAAAGATCCTACTTCTACAATTGGGAGGTCACCAAGTTATTCAAATAAGTTGTATTTTCGGTGGTTTTCCCATGTTACAACTTCTGTACCAATTCAGTCGATCCGAAATGGATCAGTTAAACATTCTCTTTTATGGGTTATTCTGCTCTTGGAATCACATTCAGCAGTGGTTGGAACATCTCACAAAATTCAACCCACTTAAATTAAAAGTTAAAAAATTGTGCTGGGAAGAAAAATTGTATTCGAAAATCACTTTAGCATTATGATCATCTATGAATTGTAAGTATTATAACTATACCAACTTCCTTGTCACGTTTTCTCATTCATGTTATAACTAAAATATATATGACAAATCAAAATAAAACAGACGGGTGAACATAATAATATTTTGACATTTTTAATGTTAAAACTTCAAAAAGGTGAAGATTGATATGGAAAAATTTGTTTTAGGCATAACACAATACTCGAATACAAAATGAAATGCTAAAATAACTCGTAATATCTTTTTGAGAAGTACCATTAAACTCGTAGTTAGTTATTCACTTACAATTTTCTCAAAGTATTTCATATACACATAGGAAGTTTAATTGAAGCAAACAAGGTCCTACGACCTTTTATTGCACGTGGTAGCAAGGTGGGAAGAGCCAACACTTAAACAAAACCATGCCTACCTTCTCTGTTCAATCATCATCAATTCATCGTGGCCTCAATTTCCACGTTGTTGGCAAACTGTTTTTATAAATATTTATGCAGCAAGCAAATTATTTCTGTTTTTATAAATATTTTTGAATTTATTTATTTATTTTTAATTAACCAATATAATTGTAGGCCTTAATTTCTAAACTAAATATTTGATTCAATATTCTATTATTCCGTCTAACAAGGACCAAAAAGTCATAGACCTTAATATGAAGGTGAAGTAATTAAGGAACCTCCAAATTGACCTAATAACACAATTTTCTCGTTAATCATATGTCACATTTTGATTAATCAATTGATTCTCTGAAGTTACTCTTGCAAATAATACAGGTTCCTAAATTCTGGTGATGAATTTTTTAAGTTGATCGTGCCATTTTTATTCGCTTTTAGTTTTGAATTTTAGAACAATTGTTTTTGCAATCATATTACGTGTGTGTTTTGATTCACGGTCGAAAAAAAATTTCATGATGAATACCATTGATTTACGAATACCCAACAAAATAAAAAGTAGGCAAACAACAGTAAATCAAGTAATGTGCACATAAAAGTAACTTTTGATTGAAACTTGGAATGTGATTGCACAAATTATAAGTTTTGCTAGGTGCAATTTAAACATAATTTAAATCTATTTACAAACAATGATTTCATCCCAAATCTATAATACCAATAATAGCCCACAACCATTTTCGTAAACTTAGACAACAAAAGGGAACACATTGGGCATTTTGTACCGCAATTGACGAAAAGGCCCCCATCATTTCAACTTCAAGCAGTTGTGACCATCTTGATGTCTTGCTCAGCAGAGAAGGAGCTTGATGGGTATTTTTGGCCCTTCTTTGTTGGGTAAGAAGACTCTATTGCAATGCCACACTTGCCTGTGTACGTGCTTGCAACATTTCTCTCTATCTTAAAATATCCACTCTCTCCCCAGTTGGTTCCCCATGAGTTCCTCACCAACCAATAGTCTGTGCCGTTTTCAGTGCCATACCCGACAGCAACGACACCGTGGTCCAATGCTGATCCGCACTCACCAGTGAAAACACCCGACTGGTAGAGTTGTAAGGCCATGCCGCCGGCTTCAATGGCCACGCTAACGGGTTGGTGTGCAACGGCTTTCTTCAAAGCGTTCTCGTCGTAGGACGGAACATCTTCGTACCCGTCGATGCTAACAACCGTATTTTTCTCCTGCAAAATTATAGCGCAACAAAGCAAGACGTTAGAAAAAATGAAATATTACCCTACAAGAGTATAAATAGGGGATTGGCATTGAAAACTTTGGACTGACCAGAGCAACGTTGCATTTTTGGTCATATGCTTTGTAAGGGTAGTCGGATTCAGTGTCAATGCCGCCGTTTAGGATAATGAACTCAAAGGCGTAGTCCATGAGACCACCATCGCATCCGGCGTTGTAAGTCCTGTCACAGTCGACGAGCTCTTGCTCTGAGAGAGACACCAATTCTCCGGTCACTATTTGGTTTATGCCCTCCACTGCTGCCACTGTTGAAAAAGCCCAGCAACTCCCTGCAACCAAGAAATATCAAGGTTTTTGTGAGCACGAATTAGATCCAGTGGGCCTAACCCGAACTTTTGTAGCCATGTTCGGGTTTGGGTGAGCTTGGAGAAACATTTTAGTGCTTAATAAACATTACTATATGAATTTATTAGGACATATGTTACGTTATTAAAAAGCCAGTGTTTGAAGGATAATGTCACCCAAATCAATATTACGAGAAGGATTTCATGACACAAACACACTAACACCATTATATCCAATTTCAATGATATAATATTATGTATAAAGTCGTTGTACGTGATATTATTTAGTAGTACAAATTGTCATGATATTACCACCATAAGAGTCGTTTTCCAATAATATAACTTGTTTTGGGAGGTCGAAATAAATATACTTTTAATAAATAATCATCGATGATTAATTTAACATTTAATTTAATAAAATTTATCGTTTGAAACAAAAAACCTAAAAAAAAAAAAAAAAGGAATCATAAAATATTATAAAAGACTTTAAGAAATCATTTTCAATTTTTTTCCACAAAGAAAAGTGATATTCCAATTTTATATTGACGTGAGGGGTAAGGAATCCCAACTTCCAACTGAAAGTCCAAACCACCAGCAAGCCTCTGCCACCTTATCTAACATTCCACTAACAACACTTTTATCGCTTTCGTGCATGACTAAAATTCAACAGTGGTGGAGCGCATAGCAGGGCATCCCACCATTCAAAGACTTCACCTTTTCCCACCGACCAAAACACCTTTTTTTTTTCCTTTTTCTTTTTGAAAAAAAAATAATAATAAATATCACGAGGCCTTTTCTCCTGGCCATGGAGATGTGCCTCGTCTCTTCTGAGAAGATAAAGGCTACTCGAATTATTGAAAAAAAAAACACTAAAACTAGTAGAGATTTTGGTTATGGATTTGCTTATTGAGTCACGTTAAGAATCAATCAGAACATGACACCGGAATAATTAGTTGGACTCATCGTTGTAAACGTGACACGATTAATCAAATTAATCAAATAGTTAATCATGAATAACTAGTGAGGTTAGTTCTAAATACAAAGAATCTGACTTTAGTTACGTGTTTAATTTGTGTCACGCCGAAAATCAATTTGAACATGACGTGGTTAATTCAGAATCAATTTGAACGTGACACGATTAATCAATCAACATGTTAGGTATCAACATAAAGAAACTTGACAAAAAGTCGCAGTACAAGAAAAAAATAATTACTCACCGCAACTTCCTTGATTTTTGATGGGATTGACGGCACCCTTGACTCTCCAATCCACAGATTCCGGCAACCTCTCGCCGGCGCGAAAAGCGTACCTCAGGCTCGGGTTCTTGGCCTTCATGACCCTGCGCTTAGGGTCACTCCTGGTGCCCAAAAACTTGGCACGGTACTCCTGGTTGGTCAGGTCAGCGAAAGCATTCAGACCGACCTTGTACGGACGGTCCACTGCGTTATGCTCGTCGATGAACTTCAAGTTGTCCTTGAAGATCTCGAACCTCCTCTCCTCCTCCCCGATGCCGTTGTATGTTTTCTGGTGCTTCACGAGCCACTCTTGGTAGATGGCTCTGACGTCGGCCTCGCTCCGAGAGCCGACAATCGGGGAGGCCTGTGAGAGGGTGAAGGAGAGGAAAAGGATGGTAAACATGGCGAGAGACATGGTAGATGCCATGGATTTTGGGAGAGAGGTTGGTGTTTGTGGTTTCTCCAAGGAGAGAGGTGTGCAAAAAGGGTGAAGAGTTTGGGTTTATAAAGGAAAACAAGGGAGTTTAATATTCAAGAATGTTGGTGTCCCATAAGTTTCTTGTCCGATTTGTATTTGTATATACAGATATTTACGGATTTGGATCATCTCCTGAGCCCAAGGAGCGTGAATCGTTAGATGAAAATCCAACGGTTATAATTATTATAATTTTAAAAGAACCTTCTGTTTGTAGCCGTTGAATTTTCATCTAACGGCCCACACTCCTAATCAGAATGATCCTCTCCTTGGGCTCAGTAGAGGATCCAAATCCGATATTTACTATGTTAGACTTTGAATCTAGATTATAATTATTTTACGTGAAACACGTTAATAATATTAGGCCTTAAAGTCTAATTTCACCTACTTATGAAATTATAATTTCAACAATTTATATTACAGCAGGTAGATTAGTTATAAGATGATCAATAAATACATGATCACTTTTTGTTGAATTTGATATTAAGAGTTAAATTTGACATTAAGAGTATAGAATCAATGTATGTGTACTCGAAAGCTATAACCTAGAACTGTTATTTTCATCTTTACTTCGTTGTTTGGGACTACTAAGGTTCGATGCCAGGCTTTGGTGTTGTAACTATGTTGTTTTTGCAAGTGGCTAGTAACTTAGTTTCAACTCTTAATATAAAATCAAATACTGAATAACACATAACGATATATAGTCAATCATATAAAATTTAGCAACAAAATACTAAGTACAAGTTATTTGGAACATTTTTACAAAAATTAACCTAGTAACGGCATCTCCAAATGAGATGTCAAAATCTTAGGTGGAATGCCACTATACATATTTGACATCAAAAGTCTCTTCAACCAAAATGTTATTTGTTGTATGGATTTGAAAGCTTTGTGATTTTGAGTCAATATTTTTAATTCATTTTAGCGATGGGTTCCTTATTCCACTAACATTTCAAACAATAAAATTTTGTTTCAACATTTATTTAAGAATAACAACTATTTAAATAATAAAATAACATTTGATAATTCGGTTAAAAAAGTACAAAATTTGACATAAAATTTCAAATTACTATATCAACCATTAAATATAATTTAACATTTCTTTTAGAGATGATCTAAGCAATTTAGATTCACAATCAATAACCTCTTTTTGTTCACATAGCTCTAGTAATTTATGTTTCCATTGACAACAAAAAGATCTTTTGTGTCATTAATCCAAAAATCAGTATAAATTAAGGGCAAGTTCATGAGAAAAGGAGAAAGGGGATTCTTTCCTGATCGCTTCCTCCTAATTTACCAAATCAGAAAATTCATACCGTTGAAATGTAATCAAACGGCTAAAATTATTATAACTTTTAAAGTTGGCTCTTGTTTGTAATATTTGGTTTAATTTTTAATAGCACGAATCCTTTAATTTGATAAATTAGTAAGAAGGGAGAGGATCCCTTTCCGGAAAAGGGGATCATGTAGGGTTGGGATTAAAACGTGTTCATACTTCAAACATACCATGTGGTGTGGGTGGTGAGCAGGAGTCCAGAAAGGAGGGCTAAATCGTATCCTTCTGGGAGTTGGGTAAATTAATTAATCGCTAGATATTTTCCAACTGTGTATGGAGTATGGACGACAGACGAAGCACGCAAGCTGCAACCAATAATTGTGGGATTGGAACTTAGAATTTGCCAACTTGAAGGAACTGCTCTCTCTCTCTCTCTCCCCCTCCCTCCCTGCTTGTGTTTACTGGTTAAGTTGGAGGTAAAGTGTACACTTTCCTACTCCCGAGGAATTTTAATGTAATCAGAACACGAGATGATATATCACGTGTTATTATATAAATAATAAGATATGTGTTAAAAAGTTAATAAATTATAAAATACAATTTTTTATCACTTATATAAAAACATGTGATGTACATCTGTGTTCCAATTATAATAAAAAATTTCTCCCTCCTCTATTCCATCTAACAGTCAAAGCATATGCAAGAACTAGCTTGGTAGATGAAGGTACAAAACCAAACAAAAAGATTCATGTGCTCATCGATGACATCTACTATTTGAATATTGAATCTATATAAAATGGTTTTCATTTTATTGTTTCTTTCTTTTTTATTTTATATTTATTTTTAGTAACAACTTGAGGCGCATGAGACTGCAAATGTAGTTAGATTCATTGCCCAAAGAAATGCTAACTATTTTAAGTTCTACGTGATTTCATGATCTGAACTGTTTATTTTTATTGTCATACTTTATATAATAAAAATTCAATCAAAATGAAAATTGATATATTACTCAATGATTTTGATCACTTAATTTTTGACAGGGAACTTTTTTAGATTGACCTAGCATTTGGACGGCTGCAATCATGAGAGCTTTATTAGTTGAATATTTTGTTGTTGCATGTCATTGTGGTGGAGCATAATAGAATATAGACAAAATAATATATTGAAATTGAAAACATAGCTAATTTGAGAGTTTTGAACCCTACAAATTGTGAAAAATCTTCTTCATACTCAATCACTCATTTCATAATAAATAAAATAAATAAATAAAGCATTTGCCTTCACGGATAAGAGAAGTTGAAGAAGAAGATAATAGCATGTTCCTCCCCAGTCACACAAAGATGAAAGCATGTGCAAAAGAATTGGGCTTGCTTTTCCACAAGCCACACGCTCTATTTATCCATCCGTCCATCCAATATATCACACGGGATGTGCTATCCACACATCATTTTTTTTAATTTTCAGTCGTCAAATCTAATGAGCTGAAGAAGATTAACTTACAAAAATTAATTAAGACGTGTGTAGAAAGTAAGAATGAGTGTGCGAATAGCATCACTTTATCTCATCCATCTATTGATAAAAATGAGATATGGCATGGGTGATGGGTCAACTTACACCATCCTTCACTTGGAATGTTAGGTCACCCTTATATTATACGATATCCAACTAACAATTGATGTGTGATGAACTCAGACCTCACAGGCACCCATACCCAATCTCCCTCCCTCACTCTCTTTCCACCGCTCCATCCCACACCCTAGTCCTTAAATGTGTAGCAGAGGCCATATATTAGACCCATATCGCAAGTTATGGAGTTTGTGAAAACCCTAGGTAGCTACAAGAAGCATATAAACTTCCAAAACCAAATCCTACATACATTTAACTCACCCATACTCTAAACGGGGCGTGATGGGGAGTGTTAAATTGTGAAGTAGACTTGTATTCTATTTAATCAAACAAGAAAGAACACGTGTTCGACTTCCATATATGTATATATACAACATTTATTTAGAGGGATCTTCATTTTTTGGTGTAAAAAGATCTTCATTTTATACATCAAACTTCAGCAATCTAAACCGTCTATCTTTAAATTTTCATTGAGCAAATCAAAAGAATTAATGTCCATAAAGTGAAAAGGTCATATAAAAAATGCTTCCATTTTAAATTTCTTATGTAAATTTGTAAAATGATATCGTTGGTCCAAGAGCAATGTGGCACCCCTTAGTTGTGGGGAAGTCTCCTCAGCCAAAGAGATTTTTCGGTATGTCGAGAAGACGATGCTGTACATCAAATATCATGATACAAGTGGTTTGAAATTTAAACTTTTCTTTTAACTACTTAAATTATAATACTTGATATATTGAGCCGTATTTCTGATACATTGAAATGTTTCTCCCTGAACTGCCCTCACCAGCTACCTTCTCCTTTTAAGAGCTACAGTTTTTTATCCAGTAAATGGGCCCGAGACTCAAGTTTTTGCTAGCCTTGTCTTTGAGCCATTCATCTATTCTGGAATCCTAGGATTGTCTTGCTGGAGCCAAGATGCTCAGTCAAATTTGAAATTTCTGCGTACACATTTTCTCCGACCCCACATCCTTACTTCATCCTTTTTAATTTTTCTTTGATTTATTCAATTCAAAAACCATAAATAAACAGGAGCATGCACGGATTATCGGGGCCTGCAAATGACATTTCTTCGGTTCCAAATTACATCGACCCGAAATCTCACTTTTTTTTTTTTTTTTTCCCATAAATTTATGACGGCCAGTTAGTGCAATTGCTCAGTAAGGCTTCAACTAGAATTAAAAAGGGACTGTTGTGAAATGAATGGGGAAATTTTAATACATTTGGAATCGTTTCATTTCTACGAAATTCAACTGAACACAAACTCTATAATTCCTATTTAGCAAAATATGTATAACATTTTGGAGTATATCAAATACAACTTCCTGCAAGGCAGCAGGTGCAGCAAGACTCCATCGGTCGATCACGACGTACCTTTTGCATGAGACCAGAAAATTAAGCACCCAAAAAAAAAAAAAGGAAAAAATTTGTGAAACTAATGTAAGAATCAAACTCGAATGCACATATAAACTAGCCCCCCTCCCCCCTATTACAGGTGCCTTACTGTACGTACCCGCTGACAGCATACGCTTCTCGGCCTCTTCAACTAAATTTTCCTGATGCATCTTCACACAAATTTTCTCCACGCTGAAGACCGAAGTCTCAAATTCAAACAGCAGTATATGTTTTGGGCGTCGATGGCAAATGTTTCAGTTTTGTTCCGTATGCCTTGCAGAAGCCTGCATGTCAATCGTTTTTGTCTCGTGCTTTCTCTTGTTCCGAGGACTTCTCTTTGTTCTGGGTGCACGAATTTTTATAGGACGCTTCACTGTGTGCTCTTCAACTCCAGTTTCTGTTTTTTCATTAGCTGAGAGTTCAGGAGGAGCATCAGGCCATGGTGTACGTTTCGATGGTACGGTGATTTCCAAAGGAGGATCTATAGTCCATCTGTACAAGACAAATTCAAACTAATGATCAAATTGAGAGCAGAGAAATCATGCTAGCATGACAAAAGGCTGACTGCATGGACAACCAAATGTTACCATACATTAAACTCCAATGGTTCACGTCTCACACAAGAAGAACAATATGACGCCTCATGGATCAAATATATTACGCATTTCTTGTGAGGTAATATTTCACTATTGACTATCAGATCACAAAGGATAAATAATGTTGAAATGTTCCACGGGAGCATAAAAACTCAAAAGTAAAATACTAGGTGCGGTTGTATATGCTCATACAGGCAGGTCAAGTTTTCAATCAGAATTGCCCTCATGAGGATATAATGGAATCAAGTCTTCGCACACAAGTAACTGGTGACTTGGATTACTTCTTGTGGGTGAACCTAGAAGACCCTTTAGCCCAAGGAGAAAAAAAGCGGAGGAGACTTTTAACGATGCAATAAACTGGGAAATTAGAAATTAAAAAACCTGCTCTATTAAGAAAAGAAAAGATGGAACTAATATATTTGTGACTAGAAACAATACTCTAAGCAACATCAATAAAATATGAAGACATCATGATAACATGAAATAGAATGCGACTTCACAAAGGCCAGTTTATGTCTCGAACAATCAAAAGATATTTTTCAACTTTTAGGATGTGAGGGAGCAATTACATACGGTACAGACAAAAAATAGCTTGTACATGTGAAGGCCGCTACATTTTAGGACTTGACTAAAAATAGCTTCCCCCCCTACTCACCAGTCATATTGTATCTAGAAATCAATTCAAGTATTACCAAAATGCCTTGCTACAAAATAATCGCTTACTGACGTATAAACATTTCAAATGCCAAAATATTTTTCTAGTTTCTACTGATAATAAGATTATCGCAATACCTAGAAGAATAAAATGATAATAATCATATCTTTTTATTATCGACATACATTTCAGTTCAAAATGCCAGAAAATTTATTAATTAGAAAATATTTTCTTCAAAACAATTTACATTTTCAAAATCATTTTGCAATTTTTCTTCAACTGTAGCAAATTTTTTACTAGACTCTGAAAAAAATATGCTAAGGGGTAGTTGTGATATTATGACAAAAAGACATGTTTATTCCTAGTGATATTAAATAAAGTCCCAGGTCCATTCTTTACCAAAAAAAAAAAAACGCAAATGATATTGCCAATGTTATATTTAGAGCCTACATGGTCCTACTTTCTCTGGCATAGGTAAAGGCTGGAACAGGGAGTAATGAGAAAGAGAATCAAGTAGGTAAATATGTTGATTACATAAAGAGGTGTTCGATAGGGACCGTATAAATCAAATCCACGAAATTCGACCACTTTTTTTTTTTTTTTTTTTTTTGTCGATAGAAATTCTATCATGTGGTTATTGAAAAGTAAGCAACTTATTTCAACTTAGGTCACTTCAAGTCCAATACTAGCATCTCTTTTCAGATTGTGAGATGAGAACTTGCATCCGAATGCAATGCAGAAGGCTAATCAAATACTGCTCTAAATTCTCATATCAACCAACATAAGACGCTAAACAAAAATGGCTATGCCTACGTGCCTTGAATCTGAATGTTATAATAGACTGGACCAGTTGGGATATATCGCCCATGTTGCTAATACTTGAATTGATTTCTAGATACAATACAACTGATGAGTGGGGCAGTTTTTGGGTGGGGGCGGGGCGGGGAGCTATTTTTAGTCAAGTCCTAAAATGTAGCGGCCTTCATATTTACAAGCACATATAGCCACTTAGCCAGTATTTGGAAGCAGGTAGTAGGAAAAGGGCTAAATGGTAAAGTCTCCCATTAATACATTGGACAAAGAAAAATTCAGCATTTGTGGACATTTTAGGTGGAAACGGGTGCAGGATATTGGGATATAGAGACTCCACAGCACCATAGCACCAATAATCCTGAGATATGCTACACAGATCATGCTGAATGCGCTGTAAAGGAAAAGTTCCCAAAATCTAGGCAAAGGACTTTGAGTGTTGGGCACGAGAAATCTCCTAAATTGGCTAGCAAATATCTACCTATGTTCACACAAAAATTCTATAAGTATCAAGTAGTTTGCCAGTATTGTACATGAAAACATATGCAAACATACATCTCCCACTGGGGTTCATAAGATACAAAAAGAAAATAGGGAAGCACCCCCATACCTAGCTTGCGGATCACCATCAGGTCAAAATGAACAACCAAACTGTATTGAATCAATAGGAAAAATGGATATTACAATGAACAAAATATGAAGGACTAACCTGGGAGGAAATTTACTATCGAAACGAGCTTCAACGCGGAGCCACCAGAGCAACACTTGGCGCCCACAATTTCCAAGTGGTTCAACCATGGACAGGTCCTTCAACAAGAATAGAGGGGTCACTATCTCCTCATCAGCCCCACCAATACTATCTAGATCATTAACCCACTCTGGTTTATCTTCAGCTTCACTCCAAAGCAACCTTGAATTCAACACAAACCCAGCCCACTCCAGCTTCCTGGGCAGTACAGGTGCTCGATCATCAATGTAATTTGCCCTCTTTCCCACATACGGCAAGGTGTTAAAGGTGTGCCAACCAATCAACTTATTGGATGAGTTACAAGCAGGACCTTGAATTGGCATTGACTGGTTCTCCCCTTCCTCATTTTTCTCAACTGCGGACTCTGACGATTCATCTGTATTCTCCGAATGAGCAAGTATTCCCACCGAAACAGCACCAAACCATTTCACATTCTGCAGCTCATCGAAAAGCTCCATACTGTGCATATTACTATCGTCTGCAAACATAACAATCCCGTCCAGGTTCTGCTCTCTCACAATTCTGCTCCATCACAAACAAAGTCAAAATCGTAAACTAAATGGAACCTGCATTTCATAATCTAAAGATATCTTCAATTGCTTTAATTCTCACGAATAATAATAACTACAGATTATCAGTCCAATAATAATATCCACAATCATTTGGTTAAGCTTCAATTTTTCTTCTTTCATGATATTTAACTGCAATTTTCGGAGAATAACTAATTAACAGAAGTAAATAAACGAAAATAAAACTGTAAAAATTGAGAATTCACCTCAAAGCACGAAGCCGCATCCGAGCCTCCAGCAGGTGGCGGCCATCCCAAGTATTAGGCATCCGCTGATCAAACCCCTCGTGGATGATCCGGAGCCCGGACTTGGAAACGATCGACGCCGTCTCATTGGTAACCCCGCCCGCCTCAACGACGATCCAGACGACGTTGTACGGGACGAGCATTAGCGAGTGCATAACGCCAGTCAAATGTAGCGCCTGGAAAGTCCGAGCATAGGTGGGCGTGACGGCGATGACCGTTTTGGGGTTGGTGACTCCGAACTGCCTCCTCTGCTCCCTCTGAACCGTCTCAATTATGCGGTGCGCCTTCATGGTCTCGGTCGGGTTCGGGTGCGGCCACGGCCGGATTCGGATCCCGTGCCGCCCGACCACGACCCGGCTGCTGGAGCTCGCGGTGGTGGCGTTCCTGTTGAGATTAAACTCGAGATTCGCGATCGGGTTCGCGGGGAGCTCTAGGTTTCTCACGGTGAGATCAGCAACTGTCCGAAACGGCGCCGGATAGAGATTGGAAGAGGAGGTGGAGAAGAGGAAGAAGAAGACGAGGCGAGAGAAGCGGAAGCCGAGGACGAGGCTGATGAGGCAGCAGAGGCCATGGAGTACGAGCCAGAACACCGTCGCTGGCGACTTGCCGTCTGATGTGGAGTCCAACGGCGCCGATCCCCTGAAGCTGTTGCTCCGTCGGGTGAGGTAGCTCTGGTGCAAAGCCGAGAGCTTCATACTCTCTCTCTCTGTCTCTCTCAAATCGTAGAGAGGGAAAGCCGAGCTAAGAATTGGAGAGGTGGGCTTGTTTGTTGTGTGGTCTCTGGAGCACTATATCCCTTGAGTTCCTTTGACGTTAGTTGAGCTCTCTGTAGAGAGAGAAAGAGAGAGGAGAGAGAAAGAGAGAGAGGGAGAGGTTGGGGATGGTGGCGATGATTAAGACGGAATTAAGCTGTGATTTGTTCATTTTAATCGGAGATTCCTTCGAAATTACGAATGAACTTTCAAAGTTGTTAGATTTGCTTTGCCTTTCAGCTTCTTTCTCAGTATTTTCCTTGTCCGCTTTCAGACAGAGAGAGAGTGGGAGAGGGGAGGAGCGAGAGAGAGAGAGAGAGAGAGAGAGAGAGAGAGAGAGTGCTCGGCCCATAAGCTGCGGGCCCAGATGGGCTTCGTATGATTTCGGACAGGGAGGCTTTGGTTTTAATGCACGCAACGATTTTCTATGTTAATATTCCAAATTAATTAAATTATTAGTTAATTATCGGAGTTGATGAGTGACATTTAATTATGCAGGTCAAATTAATAGTTGATGGAGCGAGACCTAAATAAGGAGAGAGCGATGTTGACGGACCAACCCGATTGATTTTTTGCGGTGGGGAAAATTTGGAAATTATTTATGTGGGGGTCTGCAATTTCAACAAATTATATTGCTTGCTTGTTTAGGAAGTTAATTAATGGAAATTTCCCCCTAAACCCAGACGAAATCTTGATTATTCACCCGTTTTGGAAAACAGTTTGCGGGAAATTTGATTTTTAGGGCTAATTGAATAGTAACCAATTGTGTAAATATATGAATTTTATTAGGGTGCCTAATTTGCACGATTAGCCATAAAAAGGCAGGATTTTGTAACATGAACCAGAGGGCCCAGTAAACGACCAGACTAAGAAGGAGGCCCAGTAATTGACATCCAAGAACGAATCATTTCATTCAGTGACAAATTTTCTCTACAGCGATTAGATTTGAACACGATACGTCATATCGAACGATAAACGTTTTTAGAGCTTGTTTGGATATCTTTTATAATGACTGAAAGTATTTTTTTGTACAAATATTTTTAGAACTAATCCTTAGTAAAAATACAAGTAAATCCTGAAAACATTTTCTCTAAAAACTCTTTCAATCAATTTAAAAGCACATTCAAACGATCCCTTAATTGCTTAGTCTATGAATCATTTGCAGTTATACATCATTTTAGCACCGCCGCAACAGGTCGAGGACACATCAACGGTCGAAATGAGGTTGGTGGGTGGTTAATATTTAATTAAGTTTGTTTTGCTTCAGACGGAGGTAAGCAATCTCTCTCATCCTTAAAACAATTAATGGAAAGTTCGGTAACAAAGAAAAAGCAATTAAGAGAGAGACACAATGCGCATTATGCCATTTTAGTACAAAAGCACTTCAACCAAAAGCTTCACTTCCAAATTAAGCTTACAGAAACATTTTGTGGACTCTAACTATAATCCCATTTAACTTGCACCCCTTTTTGCAAAATCCAAACACAAGTAAACAATACTTGGTTACGAAAGGTTTTGAAGAAAGTCCATCTCAAAATATATCATCGCTCATTTCATATACTTGGTTGCGCGAACAAATAATCAATTTTTATATAATGGTTTATAATACGAGAGATTTTAATCATAAGTATAAAACTATGTGAGTCGTCCGACGTCCACAGAGTATTTTGAGAATTACTTCATTTAAAACCTCGAGGACTCAAGTATTATTCAACAATCAACACGGAAATTCTTTGTTAGGTATCACATCAATCAGTCATGACCTTAATTTCGAAATTTTATTTTGATATCGAATTAATTAGTAAATATTGACCGGGATGCGTGTCATACATGTGATATAATCATGCAAAAACACCAACTTCACAACAACATGTATTTTATTTAAGATTAAATATCATTGTTAAACCTTAAAATGAAACATTCTTTTTTTTAATTATCACATGTTGCTTAAGTTTATAGGAACAAAGAGTCGGTGAGGAAGCAAAAAAGAAATAATTTGATGTCCGTGAAAGTTTTATACGTGAATTCAACTTTAGATGTTGTCTTGGTCGTAACTAACAAATACTCAATCACTTACACTTAAATTTGATATCAAGAATGGAAAGTAATTTAAACAATTTAATTGTTTAAATTTCAACGCCTCACATCAAATTCAAAAGTGTCTGACAACAAATTGTTAGTTATCAGGTGATCACAAGAACGCAATTGTAGATCCAATAGTTTTTTTTTTTTTTGATTCATAGTTTGAGGATTTTAATTCATGTTATAAAAGAAAACATATGTTTGAGCAGACTAAGATCCTTTATGAACCCTTTTTTTTAAATCTGTTGGGATCAATCAATCCTCACCGTTCACACCGGATCCTGCGGTTAGAATCTTAAAATAAAAAAATAAAAAAATAAATCTTTTTCTGCAAAAAACTATTCATCATTGTTTTGCAGGAAACTGGATCCTCTCCTGAGCTCAAGATGGGGATCCTCATGAGCAGCCCATCCGGGGCATTCAAACTTGATCCAACAGCTGCAATTATTATAACTTTTAGAGGGGCCCTCTGTTTAGACCGTTGGATCAAAATTCAATGCCCTAGATGGGTTGCTTAGGAGGATCCCCATCCTGAGCTCAGGAGAGGATCCAGTTCCGTTTTGTAGGACCCCCTCTCTTCATCGTTTTGTTAACAACAGTTAAGATTTTAGAGTTAAGGGTTGCAGCGGTGTAGGTGCTGATTTTGGGAAGGTAAGGTGAAGGACTTGCAATTGGGGGTTGTGGTGGTATTAGGGTTGATTTTGGAGTGGGGTTGAATTTAACCTGGAATTTGGGTGTTTGGTAGTTCAAGGTTGGGAACTTTGAAGTGAGAGAGAAAGAGAGAAGAGTTGAAGGGGAAGAGGTAGCAACTATTTTGGCTGTTGGATTCTTATCAACGGATGAGATCCATCGGCTCGGAAAATCCCCTCAAAACTGATTCGAAGAGGATATGAATCCTGTTTGAGCATGCCCTAAACGTTGGGCCATATCTCACATTAAGCCTAACATAATGAGTAACCCAGACGAAGATAGAATAATTGGGCTTGGTTTTTGAGTCTTGAACTGGCATCACATCTGATGACACCAAGTTTGCATTCAAACTGACCGAAAGGGTCCAACTACTGGGCCAGATCAAAGACCCAAAAGAATGGAAAGACACTCGAATGCTGCCCGGTGAAAACACGAGCGAAGAATCGCACATTGATCAACAACTGCTAATGTCATGTCATCTTAATCATAATATCAATGTGGAGTTTGAATACAAATAAAACACAACAATCTAATGTGGACCAAGGGAGCTATGTTAATGCCATCTTAAATATGTTTTATGTTAAGCATATTACAGTAATAAGGATTGGACTGATCGGATGGGACTTGTGTCTATATCATATATGTTTAGATTATATAATCAAGGGAACTGGCAGTAAATAACTGTTCCCAAAGGTTATCTGCTTTGTTAAAAAAGTGTCAATAAATATATACACACCAGACAAGACTGTAGTAAAAATCAATTTATTTTTCACGACAAAATCTTTTACTTACAAAAAGAGAGAAGCACATAAAAGTTCATCAAAGACTAAAGATTTGTTGTTGGATCCTTGGTTTATAAATGGTTTAATCAAGAGAGATAGACATCCATTGAACTTCTAGAATAGAAAATAAGTGAAATTCTGTCTTTAGGTCATTGTCAATACGCAAACTTCAATCTACACAACAAGTCAGTTTAGTTTGATTCATTTCATTTTCTTGATCCAGTGATTTTGTTGTTATAACATGTTGTATCTACACAACAAGTATGAAATTTGTGCTGGTATGAAAAAGTCATTTTGGCATTAAAATGTGGGCCAGATCAAAATGAGGTGGGTGGATAAATCCATGAGTCGAATTCAAATGCATACATCGAAGGTTTGTCCAGATGCATTTGAAATAGGGTTGGGACGATGGAATATATCCAGAAACATGCATGTGAGTTCTGACTGGCTTACGTCGTCCCATAGTGGTTATGTATGAAATTCTTCTTCCCTACCTGATCACGATCAACTCTCTATTATTTTTTTAAGAAAAACACGTGCATGCATCTTCCTCGTTCTTCAATGGAAATGGGAAAAAAACAAAAACATACTGTTGATTGGGATTTTTCAAGGAAATTTCTTCAATGATACATAATGTTGAATAATACGTAAAATGAATGACTGATTGTGTACAGAGTGTCGTATGCAGTTGCAGATACAACAAATGAGAACGGTTTTTTGAATGGGTGGAGAGACAATATAGCGAGTTTTGTTTGTGTGGGTGAGCCGGACAACATGAATCATGGGTCCGGGTTGATATAAAAATTCATCCCCCCTTGCAAAGAGTGTTTAATATATTGTTGGTGTTAACTTTGTGAGTATAACACTCGTCACATATCATGATCATGCGATAATTTATAAAATGTAAATAAGCATAATTTGTCAAGTGACGCAAAGATTATATTCTTAGAAGACTCCCAACTACGATGCTTGATATTGTCTCCTTGAATTACTTAATTTTATCAAAAAGAATCATTAACAACTAGATCCTCTTTGTTAAATTTGATTAAGAAACTCATAACACAAGTTTGTCCATCTGAAAGCTTCTGAAACTACTTGCTAATATAGAATCCATAGACTAATGTTTAGTGGTACTTTTATTCCCACCACATATTGAATAGCATGCAAAGCAATTGAACATTAGTTGATTTTACTATTGTTCCATCTGTGTTTGATCCAATTTATTTATGCATCCCTTAACGTAAATATAATATTGTATTAGAAAAAAATGAAGATTTGGACTCAAATACGGTTGGTAGAATAGTAAACACTTTACCGCAGTTATGAAAAGTAATTATACGTATGCACTTTAGCGCATTTTATTCCTCACAAATTCATTTTTTCCTTAATAACTAACTATTTAACCAACTACCAAAATCGCTCTACTAAACAAATGCATCTTATCGAATAAAAATGTTTTATCCAGGAAAGACAATCCATGCTTAATATTTTATTTTATTTTTTCAAAAGATAACATTAATGAATTAAATAGAGTTTTTTTTTCTTTTGGCAAAAGATAAATTTTTTAGTTTAAATGCTAGATTACAAAATTAACGATGGTACAAGAGCCAGAACTCTCTCTCTCATAATATGTTTTCTATTCCTATTGGCCGCCCCGTAAATTACTGACATTTGGGTGTGAAGTCAAAACTTAGGCACCCAATTCAACTCCATCACGTTTCGTTGCACAAAT